ACTGATAATGCTCATCTGCCAAGGAGAAAGCAGCATCTGATGCTCTACACGGGCAAGGAGCCCTCACCTAGTCACTCTCTTTACAAAAATGACAATTTGCGCTCCTTCTGTGACACCAAGTAATGCTATAGAAAGCTTCCTCGCCTCAGCTGCAACTCCCAGGGGCTCAGAACTTGAGCCACAGCTTTTAAAGAGATGAGGCACAAGATACTTCTCCTTTTAGGAAGCAGCTTAACTTGCCAAGATTTAAAATCCCATTTGGGCCATGAAAGAAAGGGAACGAGGCAGTTCACCTAGGCTTTAAGGAGAGGCTATCTACCCGCAGTGCTCACTTCTGGTTGCAAATGAAAAGATTGGGTAGTAAAGCTAGAGATTATTTGGCATGGAAAATGCATTTTAAAAGACTGACAAATCAGCTTCCTGTGATCATATAAATCTGTTCTACAGCTTCATTCCCCTGTCCATGGAAAGCAACCTTCCTGCGTTTTCCACATACTGGTTTGGTGCAAGGAAACTTGTTCCCTCAACACGTCCCATTCCTTTAACATCTGTTCTTTAGAAAGTGCTTTTCTGTACAATCAAAATTAGTACAAAAAACCCAACTCACTGGCAAAGTAGAAAGAAGGGCCTGTCTCCTTGCTGTATGGTATTTTGGGACATGCTGAATTTGGGAAATAGAAAGGTAAATTAGCCTCTTGCCACGTGCATACTTCCCGTCTTCTGGAAAGGTCAGCATCTTTTTTTTCTTTTTTTTTTTTTTTCTAAGATTGTAGAACCATGCAGATATTTTTATTTACTTAGGTGCTATTAGAGGTGGATATTTAGTTTTACAAATGAGTGGAGATGAAACAACACAAGTCTCGGGTAAGCCTTCCTTCTAAACTGTGACACTGAGGTCTTCAGTTCTTAATTAACACAAAAATAAACTCTAGGTCAATTAATGGTCTGTTACAGTCCACTGTAATTAGAAGGTTAAAACGTAATTACATTAAAACAGAAATTGGCCCCTTGCTTTTGCAGCTATATCACTGTCATTCTTAACAGTTCCAAGACACCTTTGGTGACTGGTTCACTCTTAGTCCCTGGAGAATCCTCTGAAGTTTATATTATATCCACCATTGTACTACCAGGGTAATAGAATTTACTCTACTGCTGAGACAGAAACCAGATAAAGTTAGAGACAACACCAGACCAGTAAAACATATGCAGAAGGGGAAAAGGGAAGGGAGAATGGGGACAGGAATGAGAGCACAAAAACCAGGAAACACATCTATATAAAACCAAGGTGTGGTTTTACACAAGTTTGGTTTTAAACACAAAAGTGAAGTTTTTCAGAGGACTCCAGTTATCTGCAAACACAGGCAATTCAGCTACATGGTAAAACTAACACAAGTTCATTGTCACAGGAATCAATATATCCACCCTCTACTTAGATAACCAAATCTTCTACTAACAGCACAAGACAAGTTTAGGTCTTTGTGCAACACAGACCAAGCACTCAAACTGAAAACCGTGGCCAGCAAACTCTACCAGCCCAGTGGTATCGGTATCAGGGAGATCACACAGAGCCAACACTTCCGAGACAGATGCTGTGTTCTGAAACCAGCGTGCGGTTAAGCGGGGTAAGAGCGACAACTCCGCGTTCAGGTACGTGCGTACGGCAGTTAAAGGTGCATGTACTGCTCTGCTGCAGCACTGCCTGCATTTCAAACTTCCCTTGATAAGGCCATCTAAGTGGCTCACGTCTCCAGAAGTTATGAGCTGAAGTGTGTAATAGACGTTTTTATCGTCTGGCTGGTAGACGGGAAGAAAGATAGTTGCTTGAACATTGTCCTTCCCAACTGTGTTTGGAGGGGAAAAACCCAATGATTTAAACACTCCTCCGTCATATCTTTAGATGGGTCTACTGGTGACCACGCAGCTCAGCTGCTCTGCTTCTCGTGAGCTCTTGTCAATACCAGGTTGCGAAACAGAAGCAGGACACTGTAATGACTGGCAAGGAAATCCCAGAAGTGCAGAAATATCCCATTAAACAGCATTAGACAAAAATACTTCTCTTTAAAATGGAAGAGCGCCTATCAACAAGTGTAGGCCACTGTATGTGTTTGGGATTCGGCTATCTCTTCACGAGACGGGAAGGAAAACAAAACCCAAACTTTGGCAGTGAGGGCAGTGCACTGAATGGATCAACAGGCATTTCTCTTCGCTGGCAGGCAGTTACTACTTGCCACAGACCTTCAACTTCTCCCAAACCATTAGTGAAGATGGAGTTTCAGATCTCACCAGAAAACATTTCACACCTTAAGAACACTTCATAAGCAGTGCCCCCCAACCCCCACGTCTCAGTGCGGTTGTCCTTGCAGACATCTTCTCTCTACCACATACGCAGGAAAAAAATGGAGTGAATTTTGCAAGAATTATCTCAAAGAAAGCACTAGTACCTTGAAGGATAAAAGGGCAGGATAGCCCGCTGAATCCTGATATCAGTGGGGGGGGAAAAAAATAATTAAAAAAAAAAAATTTAAAAATCAGACAGAAATTTTAAAGAGCCGAAAGGAAATCTGAGAACTTGTTTGAGCAAGTGCTCCAGAAATCAAAAGCAGCGGCGGTTGTTGTTTCTCAGGAGGTCGTTACTCTGTACTTTCAAATTAGTTTTAAGAGAGGACCAGAATCAAAGTGCAGTGGTATATTTAGTTCAAAGATACCGTGGGTAAATTTAAGATTCCCAAAATATGATACCGTAAGTTACGGATACTTTCTTATAGTCACTCATTCGGATGTGAATGATTCCAGCACGTTGTTCTTTAGCAATGTACTCCATAACCAGCTTATATTTATCACCTTAGGCATTTCTACATTTTTCCCAAGCGTTCCCACATCGACAAATGGAAGCTGAAGTGAATACGTTACAGATGGACACATTTTGAGGAAACACAATCCGTCTAGGCAAGGTCTTCAAGTACTCAGCACATGGAAGACTTGCAAAAATCTGAATTGAGACAGTGCTGCACTACATCAGAAGTCATTTCATGTGTAGCTAACTGTAAACTTTGTAGGTTAAGGGGACACTGGAGCCAATTCATGTTCACTAGGCAATAAACAAGTCTGCCCATGGCAAGAACATACTCTTTAAAAAAGCGTCTCATATGGAGTTCATGATCCAGCTGGGTTGAATGGTTTCAATAACAAGAGTTTCAAGCACTTGATCATTTACTGGGAAGGTGGGAGAATATTTAGAAGAGTCACCAAGCAGCTACTTGAAAGAACACAGGAGGACATGCAATTTCTGTTAAATTAGGTGCTCTTGGAAAAGTAGTATTTAATTACATGGCAGGAAATACCAAAGAATTCTCAAGTTTGACCCAACTTAGCTGTTTGGACTGGTAGGTAGTCACATACCTACAACAGAACGCTGCAAAACCAACACAAAATGAGATCTAACAGTTGTGGGTTAGAATATCAGCGAAAAAACTATACAGACATCTGATCAAAGCCAACCAAGGGAAGGGCTTGTACTTCAATGCTGTAGAACCCACTGGTTACAGAAGATAAGGATGGTGCACAATGGGAAATTGCTAGGAAGTCACATGCAACCATTCTGAATCAAATCTCAGATTATCTCATGTTTGGTTTTATTTTAATTAGGAGAGGAGAGTTTTCATCGATAAAGGTCTGAAAGCCTTTGATCATTCACTTTATCGGAATTCTATTTAATCTAATGAAAAAGCAAACAGAAGATCTGTTTACATGGACACCTCAAGCATAAGAGTTGAAAAGATCAAAGTAATACAATTAGCAAGGACCTGTGAGAGAAAGACTTAATCTCTACAAGTAACTTCCATTTCAGCTTCAGCACAAATGAGCTGAAATATTCTTCCTCCAAGCGTCAAAAAAGGTTTCTAGTTTTTTTTGTTGTTGTTGTTTCTTAGCTATGTTACCATACCACTGCAGAGATCTGAAAGGATGTTTTCAGATGGGTAAGACACAGACTTTTAAAATCATTATTAATTTCACACTAAACTTCAGATTCTTAGCCTTGTAAGTTTTCATGACACATCATGGAACTCCATCAAGTAGCAGTGTAAAACTAAGCACCGGAAAACATACAAAGATGTCTAAAGGTACAGAAAATCTTTTATTAGAATCTAAGTCAATAATATAAGTGACCCAATAAAAGTCTTCCTCAGATGCTATAACAAGTATTGAAATGCCACGTTTTCAAGAGACCATCTGCTGTTTTGACATTTTATGACAATTTCCAAGCCTTCTAGCAACCTTGATTCTACCTCTTTCAATAGCATGTTTTGCAGTGAATTTTTTCCTCTGAATTGGGCATTGATTTATCATACATTTATAACGCTTTAGAAGTTCTTTGACATTTTACGTTGTAACAAGGTAACCCACATTTTCAGCACTTCACTGTTAAGTGAAATACGCCCATCTGATAATGCTGGAGACTAACTGTCAAAGTCAGAGCAATTACATGAGCTGTTTCATATACTTATTCTTGACTTACCAAAAAAGAAAGGTAAGCAACACATGTTTTATTTTGCTTAAACAGCAGTGTTCATACTGTTAATAATGCTAGTAGTATCATAAAGACAGCATTTCACTAGTTGTCAGAACTAAAGTCAAGTTTTGAAACTGAGGTCATAGCCTTGCAATAAAACAAGTCCTAATTATAATCAAGAAACAATCAAGGGATGTTGTGTCAAGAGCATCAAGAGAACTTGAACAAACTTCTTTCAGCAGATATTCTTTAGCAGCTCCCAGGTTGAAATTTCATCTTGGTCACTGGCATCCTACTGAAATCAGCATACTTGAGTTTTCATTTTAACCAGGTGGCTCAGTTTTCAATGCTCTGCTGATCAGCTTATGAAATATAAACCACATCTACTGGTGTAATCTGAATGATACCCACGTTTGAAGCTTGAGATTAAATACATCCCTGCACAACATAAGAACTTAAAAAGTTACATATAACACAAAACGTTTCCTACCATACATAGCATGCGTCTGTTCATGCGCACCATACTGTGTTGCAGAAGAAGATACTAAACCAGGCTGTGCATGTGTTGGTGGTGCCATCATTCTAGCGTTGCCCTGTATTACAGGGCTATAAACATGAGGATGCTGCATGCGACAGAAATAAGAAAACAGACAGTTAATGGGAGGACCATTACAAAGAAAGTAGCATCATCTAATCAATAATTACGTATTTAGAAACAGTAATAGCTTGGCCTTACTGAAATGCAGAGCAAACTGGAGATTTCATACTATCACAATTATCCCAATTGTTTCTAAAAATTTAAGGGACGTTTTCTGCAGCGAGCTGAAAACTGACAAAAACTATTGGCATATCTAATTTTTGCCACTATAATAATGTAGTAAGCTTATGTATGTCATTATGTATTTATTCAATTACATGTCTATATTTAAAAGCCTTTGAAGTAAGAGGAGTACACCAAATAATTTATTTTTAGAACGCATAACTAGGAGGTGTCATGGCCATGACCTGAAAGGAATTGTTCGAAGAGCTAAAAAGGCAGCATTCACTAATAAATGCCAACTCCTAAACCGACCTTAAAATTTGTAACAGGCTTTGAAGCACATTACAACACCACCAAGTATGCTCCAGAACACAGAAACTGTTCAGGGT